CCTTTGCAGTTTCAATTGCAAGAACTTGCGCCAAGGCAACTACGAGCTTTGGAATACTTATGGTAAACAAAAGCATCCACAACCATCCTCTTGAGGATTTGATAAAAGAGAAGCACAGGATGGGTGTAACTCTCATAGGTGTAGGTAGAAGGAAAGATTGACTCTAGGGATTTCCCATGAAAGCGTGGATCTTGTGGCTCTTCTAGAATGTAACTTTGTTATTCATCCACATGATCCTCCTTTTTGGACTCCAAAGTTGATCTCTCGAGAATATCCATACACCAAACATATTCGTCCATCATTCTCTTGTCAATGGCATTCTACGAGTGGATTCCCTTCCTCATCCTTTATTAGGATCGGGGTCCTCACCTCATATGAATTTTGCTCCCATTCGACGTCAACCAAAAGGTTTAGAGTGCCTCCTAGGGTTGGATTATCAACAAAGAAACAAGGAGGGATAAATGGGGGATCATCATATAGAGATTTAAAGTCTGAGGTGTAAGATGGTTTTGATTTGATTGGCTCTTGAGCAACCAAATCTTGAGATGAATACGGAAGACGATGATTTGGGGTCAAGGACGCCAAAGATCTCTGTTGGATTGGATGTTTGAAGGTGTTCCCAACATCAGGAGAGAGATCCTCCTCGAATTCAAAAGGAAACTCCAAAGGATGAATTTCTTCTTCCTTTGGTGTCCCTAGGAATGGTTCAGAAATTGGGTCAGCGGCTAAAGCTTTAGATGGAATTGGCATGGATTCAGTTGTCGAAACTTCTTCTTGCATAGGATTTGGATTGTACTTTTTTTAGGGGAGTAGTCATGGACATCGGTGTAGGAAGTGTTTTCAAGGATTGTATTATGGATAGCTGTCCCCTCACTATCAAAAAGATGTAAGAAGGCTCCTCCTGAAGCGATGTCAAGGAGTTGTGTAGATTTCTCACTAAGACCCATATAGAAGTGTTGTAAAAGCATAGGATTGGGTATAGCAAGGTCAGGGCCAGATGAATAGACATCCATCAAGTGGGCCCATGCGGCACCTAAAGATTCCTTCTCTTTTTGCTTGAAACTTAGGACTTCTAGTCGAAGATGAATAACTCGGGGGATAGGAAAGAAGGTTAAACAAAACTTGGTGTGCAAAACCTCCCACTCTCCTTGAACACTCTCTAAGGATCGAGTATACCACAATTTGGCTAATCCCGTCAAAGAGAACGGAAATAGCTTGCACTTTCGTGTGACATGCCTGAAATGTGAAGGCATGAACACACTTGCTCGAACTCTCACAGATGAGCATATGGGTTTTCATCTTTTTCCCAAGAAAAAGATAGCTCCTGAACATTAGTTATGAAATAAGGGCAAAATTTATAACTATTAGTGAGCATAGGTTTTGATGATGGAGGTAGCTCTAGACTAGTGACCTTTGGAGTAGCACATTGAATGATAGGAATGTGATTCATGGTATGAAAGATAAAGGGTAAAAGGTACTTGGATGACTTAGTTCTAAACTAGAACAACTACCGTTCTCCGGCAACTGCGCTAGAAAGCTTATTGACACTAGATATGGCAAATAGATAAATCCACAAGCACATGGATGTCAATGTAGCTTCCACTCGGGAGTATTCCAAGGTATCCAATTTTCACGGGGAACACGAAGTGGACTAGTTAAGAACTAAGAGTGTCCAAGGACAGAGCAAGGGTAAAAATAATAGGTAGAGAGAATATATGTGGTTTCTATGAACTAAGGAAAGACTAAGGAAAACTATATCACACTTGTTTACATTGGGGCACAACCCACCTAGCAACCAGGAGGGATAACTAGACAAGGTCTGCCACGAGCCCTACGATTTAATAACTAGACCTATCATGGTGGAATACAGAGGATGGACAGGGCTATCACCACCTGCCACCTACCACAATCTATCCGGAGGCCTAGCCATAAACACAAGCAAGCTATAGCCTAAGCACCACGCTTAATCTATATACTCACTACTCTAATCCTGTACACGATGAAATAAGACTAGAGCACTCTAACCAAGTGGTGAAACCAGTAAACAATAACAATATAAAATAATACTTAAGTAATGCAAAAGATTAGAGTTACCACACAGAATATGTCGGACTTCACTCGAAGAAGAGTTTCATGGGCCGAAGCACAAGTAGGAGAGGATGCCGACAACCCCGGCTCTTCCCCAAGCTTCTCATCACTCTCTCCCTATCTTCTACTTCTAAGTAGTAGAGCTATGAAGCTTTGCCTAGCTACTATTCTCACTTGGAGTGATGGACTAAGATGGGATGATTACAAATGAGGGAGAGGGGTCCTACTTATAGCTTGAGGTGTAGTAGGGGCTACTCCATCACCACATCATCGATCCGTGTGACATCTTCTCCTTGCCCTTGGATCAAACCGACCTTGAACCACCTTAAATCAAAGCACCACATTGCCCCATTTGTGCTAGTGTGCATGCTGTCCAAAGATGAGTCGGTTTGGCGGAAGTGGGCCGTCGGGCGATGCCCCTTGGTGTTGGGCAACCCCCACTGAGGAGTGGGTCCTCCTCCTTTGGTGTGGGGCCCTTAGGGGTGTAGTAGAGTGTGGGTATGAAGCTACTTTGTCCATTTGAGTACTGACATAAGCATGGTGAGTCAACAATCCATGTGATGCACATTTTTAGCCTTTGATCTTGCACCGACTTCAAACCAATGGTGGATGGGCACTTCTAGGGGTGTCACCTAGCTCTCCCATGGGCTAGTGACGTGGAAGGCACAGGTGGGGCATCGGGCGACGCCATGTGGCGTCGGGTGATGACACTTGGTGGCCCTTGGCCCTCCTTGCCACTTGGATTGCTTCTAGAAGGCCTCCATTTGCTTAATTTTGCCTTGTTTTACCCAACAAGCACAATTCTCCAAGTACAAGTGGAACCAAGTGAAATCTAAACATAAAATGTTCTTTTTGATTGATTTTATGTATTTATATCACCAATTTAGGCATAGTTGATGGTATAAAATGGGGTGTTAAGGACCATCAATAACGTTCCTAATGTCAAGATGGCCAAAAAAAATATTTGGATCATTGCATTGAAGTACGAAGGGCAAAAATAAGGTTTTGGGCTCAGACCGCTAAAACCAGCCCAACCGGTTTCTCTTTAAGTGGCCCGACCAACATGTGTAGGCTCGAAGAAACTGGTCAAGCCGATTTCAAATCCCGCTAGGCCGATTTTTCTAGATTCCAACCCGGTTAAGTATACATATCAGTTTTGGGTTGTGTTTTTTAAATTACATAGTACAAAGTTGATGCCCACAACACGCACTCACACTCACTCCTATGAACACACGTACGCAAACCTGGCCTACCCCTATGAGCACCTCCTAAGGATGAAGCCGACAGATCTGAGATTCAAGAAGTCACTACAGGTGCCTCGCTGACGATGGGGACGTCGCCTACCACTGAAAGCATAGAGCCGTTAAATTCTGGAATAAATCTAGAAAAATGTGAGTTCCCATGCCAAGTCAAGGACTTAAACCTAGATGGACAGGTTCCACCACAAGGAATCCAACCGACTGAGACATGGGAAACTTGCAAAAACATGTAGGACATGTTTCCTAGTAGGATAAGACCATCCTCCTCTATATATTGGAGGATCACGGCCGATTGAGAGATCCAACATCCAATCAATACATCTATTACTTCTTTTACCCTAACTTTTTCAGCCCTTGCAGTTCGGCACGTCTCTCGAAGAGATTCAACGATGTTTTTTGTGGCCTTGCCGACCCTAGGACAACCTTGGCGTGTATCTCCCCAATGAGGTCTTCTCGGGAGGTGTTATTGAGCTCTATCATTAAAGAACAGGCTTCTAATCGGTTCTACCAACCAGCTGATTGGTACATGTTGATTCCGAGTTACTCACTACATGTTTACGTCATGTGTGACTTCAGGCGTGCTAGCCCTTACTTGTGTGTGATCCGAGATTCAATTCGCCGTCAACATGGGCATTTTATCCGATTTTGAAATTTAAGGAGTAAATTGTCCGGTATTCAAGTTCAAGGGTGCATTTTTTAAATTCAGCGATAATTTTGGGAGTAAATTAGACATTACTCTGTTGTTGATGAGTCATCTATATCTATATCTATATCTATATACTCCATCCGTCCTGTAATATAGCGTATTCTAGCATTCAAAATTTGTCTTCAAATATAAGACATTCTATAAGACAGAAACCCATTTTGCATTAAATACTTTCCATTTATCAGCCAACCACCACTAATCATATTGATGATAGCGTCTTATTAGAAAATAAAGTGAGGGCACATGCGTCTTTTGTGTTCTCTCTTAATTTGTCCTAAAATTTCTAGAATACACTGTATTACAGGACAAATGGAATATCTTATAATCCTAAACCTTATTAGAAGTTAGTCTCGACATGCAAGTCATCCACGTCAGCAGCCCACTTACATATGCAATTATTACACATATCTATTCATACAAGCTATCCACTTCAGCAAATCACGTATCTACTAACATAATTTATTTATCCACTATTAAAATTATTTGCGATTCCCTCAGATGGCAGGGCAGTGCTTGTAGTTTCCTGAAATACGGGATTACAGCGAGGATTGCCAAGAATCCGATTTCCCTCATCCTAGGCAAAAGGGAAGACTGGCGCTGGACCCTAAGCTAAGTGGCTATTATTATTATTTGACACGAGATAAGCCTTTAGATTTTCTTTTAGATGTGGACCACACAAGCTGTATCCTAGCGAAATCGACGCGGCTCTCTTTTTTCCATGTAATAAATACTGCAGGTCGATTTAGACATTCCATGTTGGTGTGGTTTTCAAATGAGATACGTACATGATTTTGTATACTAATTGGTAAAGGTAAAAAGTAATCTTTTTTTTTTAAATGCTTGCCTTTCATTATATTCAATGGGGCCTCAAACATCACCAAGTCAGAGACAGACACTGGAATTACATGCCACACTTCCAGACGTTGTGTGCTCGAGACTTGCTTAGGCTAAACATGAGCAACCTTGTTACAAACACGATTAACATAGGAAAAGAAAAAATCATGAAAGGCAAGACTAAGATCCTCTGTCTCCTTCAAGATTGGATCAACGACAGACCGCTGCGAATGCTTCTTCTTCCACAGATTTACCAGCTCGAGGCAGTCGGTCTCCAACACCACCCTTTGCTTGCCATGCTGTTTTGCCAAAACCAAGGGATCCCTGCACGCCGTCGCCTCCATCGTGCAAGCATCCAGACACCGCTCGTACCAGCGCGCTTGTGCCTCCCTGAAGGCGCCACGGTCATCACGAATAATGCATGCGTAGTACACACAATGCCGTCTAATTGAAAGGAGGCATCAGTATTCACTTTAACCCAGCCCAGGTCCGGCGGCTTCCATTTCATCTCAACCTTGCGGCTTCTCACGTCACATTGACTGGCTGGTTTCCCACAGATCAAGTGCAGTGTCCCTAGCCCACACCACAGCTTGATGAATACTCATAGACTTTTCCCCATGTCTTCGCTTGTTGCGCATCATCCACAAAGCCCACATACCGCAGAGAATGAGCGCCGTATCTCTCTTTGAGCATATATCCGAGATAAGATCAGTCGTCCAAGCCAGCGGATTCAGAGCTGGGATTTTCACCCCTGTACCCAAGCGAACTTGGAGCCAAAAAATTCGGGCTATCGAGCAGTCCACCAGCTCATGTTTGACAGACTCCTCAGGATCACCACAGTCCTCAAAGAAGACCACTGGTTCGATATATTTCTTGAAGAGAACCTGCCTTGCCGGGAGGAAATCATTAGCTACCCTCCACCAGAACACTCTCACTTTAGACTGTCTTCAACGACCGTTACCTAAAATACAAGACCCATTTCACATTTAGGTAACACTACGGACAAATGGTTCAATATCTATTTTTTGTCTTCTCCAACAATAAGACTCAAAAAAGAACCCTTTCTGTAAATGAGTCTACAGGAGAGAGTATACTCAGATTTAGTTTATACCTCTCAGGACACCAAAATTGAGTCTTCCATATAGATACTCTGTTAGAGGCTATAGATATCCTGTTGGAGACCCATTTTAGATTTGGGTCTCCTTCTAGGTCTCATATTGGAGACAGCCTTAGAAGACCTCCCACAACGTCTTCCCGCATTCGTCCGATGAGGAGCCATGCGTCTGACTTTGATCCCCATCAAAATTCTTAGTGTATAATAGCTTGTACGCAGATCGCACTGTAAAAAAAATAATCTTTTGGAGGTTTACAATTGATAAATTAGTATTTGTTCAAAATAGTGTAGTATTGCGGTTATCATGGTATATTTTCACATTTATAGTTAACTGAAATTCTTGTTTAATTCGTTTTGTTTTTGCAATGATTGGAATCGTTCCATTGGAATTGCAATTTAATGGAAATCCGTTTGGATCGGAGTTCGCACTGCTACTTGTACTTTCTCTCTTATTTATTAAAAAATAGGAAAATATTTGTTTATAGTAGAAGTAGCATGATTTGCAATTATATGGAAGAGATATATAGTATATTCAGCTATAATATTGTCTGTTCCCATCCTAAGAGCAGATATCTGGTTGGTTCTTGTACGAAGGTTTGACACCAAACAGTCCCGTTGCTTTGGGCTATATACAATCAATGACATCGATGATCCAGCTATTCTAGAAGCTAGGCCCTATCTGAGACGTCGACATATCATATCCGCCCATACGCGCCCGTGTTTATATATATATATATATATATATATATATATATATATATAGAGAGAGAGAGGGAAGTATATTCAGTAGTAAGCTACAAAATAAGTTATTCTGTAGCCACCTCCATTTACGATAATTTTATATACTAATTTACGATAATGTCAATACGTATTTACGATAGTTGGGTTCCTATAACACATGAGGATATTTATCATAACGTTATAGTAAATCACTTAGTAAGGAGTAACTATAATCTCGTAAATTAATATAGTAATTATCGTAACTCAAAAATAAACTACTGAGAATAAGTTATTTTGTAACCAACTAACAAGTAGTAGTAGTATATATATATATATATATATATATATATATATATATATATATATATATATATATATATATATATATATATATATAGACACACGCATACTTTTCCTTTTTTGCAAGGAATATACGCATACTTTTTCACCAGTGAACTCAATCGATATGTATACGTGTACTAGGTACGTACAACTATACGCCTGAAAACGCCAGTTGCGTGCATGCTTTAGGAGTCATCAGATGTGTCCTTGACGATTTCTGGGAGCTGCACCGGGTAGCGGTGGATGGAGTCGACCCACGGCCCGTCGGCGTCGGCCGGCGGCTTGACGCACTCCCACGCAACACTGTTGCAGTCGAAGCCGGCGCCGAAGGAGATCATCCAAATCCGGTCGCCCTTTTTCATCATCCCCTTGGCCTCGATGTACGCCAGTTCGTACAGCACGGAGCTGCTGGATGTGTTCCCGAACCGGTGCAGCGTCATCCGCGACGCCTCCACGTCCTGGTCGGAGAGGCCGAGGCCATGCTGAACCTCGTCGATCACCCCGCGGCCGCCTGCATGGATGCAGATGTGCTCGAACGCCGTGCGGAAGTCCGGTCGGTAGAGCCTCACCTTGGCGCGCCCGCTGAGGAGCTTTCGCTTGAGCAAGGACAGCGCGACGAGGAGCTGCTCCGAGGCCGGCAGGACAAGGGGTCCGAAGGCGGCGATGTTGCTCTTGAGCGCGTGGCCGGCGGTGGTGGCGAGGTCCTTGGAGAGACGGATCCCGGTGTTGCCCTTGTCGTCCTCCTCCTGGAACACGCACCGGTAGTCGGCATCCCGGGCCGCCGTCACGGTGCGCACCAGGCGGGTGAGCCTGTACCGCGCGCGCTCCGAGGAGTTGGACAGGATCATGGCCGCGGCGCCCATGCGGAAGAGGCAGTTGGGGAGCAGCATCGCGCGCTCCGTGCCGACGTAGTACTGCGACGAGAGGATCTCCGTGGAGACGATGAGGACGTGCGTGCCCGGCCGTGCCGTCTGCAGGAGGTTCTTGGCGAGGCCAACGGAGACCAGCCCCGCGCTGCACCCCATCCCGGACAGGTTGACGTTCTGCACGTCGGCACGCAGCTTGTACCTGTTGACGACCATGTCGGCGGCGAACACCGGCGTGGGCGTGAAGATGCTGCAGTTAACGATGAGCACGTCGATCTCCTCGGGCTTGACGCTCGTCCTGGCAAACACCTCGTCCACGGCGGAGAAGATGACCAGCTCCGTCTCGTCGCGGGAGGCCTCGAGGCTGCGGTCTGGCGGCATGTAGTGGTACGCCTCCGGCACGCACGTCTCCTCGCCGAGCCCGGAGCGTTCCAGCAGGCGGATGGCGAAGCTGACGCTCTCCTCGTCCACCAGGTACGGCATCAGGTGCGCGTGCTCCAGGCACGTCGCGAAGGGCGCCCGGAACCAGGGCTTGGGCCGGAAGCAGCCGTACTCCACGAGGTACACGTCCTTGGGCCGGCCCATGCGCCGCAGATTGGCGACGGCGGCGGCCAGGAGCAGGGCCAGCAGGCAGTGGACAGGCCGGATCTCCCGCGCCAGCGCGAGCACCTCCTCAGGGCTCGTCCTCGGGACCACGGCGGCGGCGGCAGCCAAGGCGACGATGACGAGGAAGTTGTTGACGAGGAGCCCGTACATGGTCTTTAGGAACTTGACATGCAGTGGCCTGTTCATCGTGCCAGTGCCACTGTGTAGTATGCGTGCGTATAGCCTTAGCCTGTATGGTTTTTTGCCACTGCACGCGGGCGTGTTATAGAGTGTGTGTGTGTGTGTAGCTGAAAAGAGAGTGGAGGGAGCGTATGATTTAAAGGCTGTGTCGAGGGCATTATGGGAACGGAGACAAGGCAGTGCTGCCACCGAACGACTTAAATGCGAGTCAATCCGGCGAGTCTTACAAAATTTACTTTTTTAACTGTACTAGTTGACTGGCTGTGCATTGCTATGGACATTCATAACATACGTAGTACAATCATGCTCCCTCTGCCCCAAAAGAACGACGTTTTAGCTATGAATATGGATAATTTGGGATGTAGGGTATGGGTAATACATATGTGAAGTCTTATGACATGCAATAAATATTGAAATTAGATTATTATCATCTTCACAATATTGTTAATTCGAAGGAAAAAGGCAGCCCATGCAAAGCATCATTCCCTTGGGCCAGGCAACCAATCCTGCGTCAAACATACTTGACAATTCACATACCGCTTGCTTATGTAAGTACCTGGTGAAGTCCACTCAGGGCATTCCTGCATTCATGTGCACACGTTTGGAGGAACTGGGCAAAACACCGAGAAGCCAACAACCGCTGGATAACCAGCCACATGGTATCCTGAGAACTCAACCATTAGCGATTAGATGCTGTGGAGATTGACACACATGGTATCCTATTCGGAATGTTGAGCTAAACTTTCTAAATGCCCAGTGCATTTCAAATGTTGTATTTGAAACATAGGGCACTTTTGATTCTTCCTACAAAACTTCCCTCGCCTAGCTGAGCAAGGATTATTTGAAGTTGAGCAGTGTGTTTGGTTGATTTGCTAGTAGTAGTATTTTGGGGCTTGTGCACGCAAATTTTTAGTAGATTTCCTTACTACCAGCTCGCTGGGCCTAGCACGCTTCTCGGGGCTAGTGCAAATAAGTAATACTCCTTTGGTCTTAAAATAGATGCTATTTTCACTTTTCGAGAAGTTAAACACTTTTAACTTCAACAAATATATATATATAAAATATTAACATTTATAATTTATAAATAGTATCATTAGATAGATCATTGAATATACTTTCATAATAAACTTATTTAAAGATATAAATGTTACGCGCATTTTCTATAAACTTAGTCAAAATTTAGAAAGTTTAACCTATACGCATCCCAGAACGACTTTTATTTTGGTATAAAGGGAGTAAGAGGCAGGCAGCAAATTTGCTTCAGAACCAAACGTGTGCTATGCACATACTATTTTATTTGAAACAATGGCTCGAGCTGTGCCGCTCAATTAAGACGAAACATTTTGTGTATAAGAAGGTTAGCAAACGAGATGTTCACAGAACACCTGAGTGGCTAACCACCCCACGCGACGTGATTGAGCATAAACACAACACACTGATATGGATCATCATTGCCGAGCATGAAAGCAAAGCAACCAGCAGCAATGACTTCTGATGGCAGGCCAGCCACAAGCCACTACCGATGGGTCCAAAGCACGAGGCCGCAAACGGTCATCGTTGCCAAGCTCAAACAAGAGCAGCTCCAACTTCCAGTCACGAACCCACACCTCGCCCCCAGCGGATGCAGACCCTCCGCTGAGCCCCAGACTACGATGAAGGGGGCTCGCCGCGTGTCATCGTTGCCAAGTCACATCCCCGATGCAGCAGCTCCGACTTCATGTTGCAAAATCCACATCCACGCATCCACCATGCGTCGAGAAGTGCAAACACTGAAGGAGGCATTGAAGCCGCGACGACGATCCAAATGCAACGCCTTTCAGAAGAGAGCGGCGCCGATGGCGACACACGATCACACGTCCACAAAAGGACTGGGTTTTACCCTTGGATGATTAAGGATGGCAATGGGGCGGTTTTGGGTTGGATATCCATGGGTTCGAGTTTCGGGGATGATTTCTCACCCACGGTTTTCGAGTTTGGGCCGCCGAAACCTATCGGGTTCGGTTTCAGTTTTGGTTTTCCACCCGTGGATATCCAATGCATATCCGAAATAAATCATTTGAAATTAAAACTCATGTTTTATAATATGCTAATAATAACTTGTTTACTTAGATTATTAAATTTATTCTAAGTTGACTCATGAAAATATTTATTATTTGTTGCCTCTTGTTTATACATGTAAATATGTGTATATATACCATGCATATGTTTATGGAAAGTCCCTATTGCTCTTACTATGTTGCCACACAAAGCGGGTTTTGGGTATCCATTCGGGTTTCGGGTATCCACGAGTTTGGTTTTTGGGACAGATTATCAACCGAATCGGTGTTCGGGGCGTTTTCGGGTTTCGATTTTGGGTTTCGGGTTCGGGTGCACAGAGACTCCACCCGATCCAAATCCGCCACATCGCCATTCCTATGGATGATAGTGCAGAGGGGAAGACACGATGCCCCCAATAGGGAAAGCGGCGCCCACCAGCGTCGCCGTCACCAAGGCTTTCACCCAAGGAACCCTCTAGCACGAACGTCGAGCAAAGAAGTCGAACCCCATGCCTGCTAACTCCGCCCTTGCCATTGTCCCGACGCCCACAGAAGCACCTTCATGAGCATCGACGCGCCAGCTGCTCATAGCAGCCACACAACTGCATCGGCCGTCACCCCCTTCGTCCGGGCAACTTGAAGAGTCGGACCTGACTCCACCACCGCTCGCGTAACACCGCTGCACATTGAGGCTATCGCTGACCACCACCACCGGCACTAGCACGCACCCACTGCAGTTGCTGCCGACCTACGCTGCCAGCAGCCATGAGGCGCATGCCCCACAATTATGGGCGCCACCCCTGCCCGCCTTCGTCATCGACCGCCGTAGGTAGGCTGGCCGCCACCCTGGCAGCACCCAGGTTGCATGCCGCGGGCAGCCCATCCCGGCCGCTGTCGGCCACCATCGCTGTGAGGGGAGGGGAGGGCGGAGGAGAAGAAGAGGGCCTTGTCGCCGCCCTCCGCGCCTACACGAGCTCTGGTCGCCGTCACCACAGCCACTGCCGACCGCCGCACCTCCCGGCCAGGACGAGCAGGCTCCAGCCGCCTAGGCACCGGATCCAGCGGCCCAGGCAGGGGAAGGGGCCAACACCGCCATCGAGGAAGGGGCCACCGCCGTTGTCGTCGGGCGCTTGCCCGATCGGACACGATGCTACAAGCGCGGGGTGGCAGATCCGGCCTAGAGGACGTTGGATCCGCGCACCCCAGCCGAGAAGCCACCGGCAGCCATCGTCCCGATCAGAGCACCTCCGGCCTCCGGGAGAGAGAGAGAGAGGGGGGGTGGGGAAGAAGAGGAGATGGCCTAGACGCTGATGTCCTTGCCTTCGGCCGGTTTGCCGGCATCCGGCTCTGGTGGCAGCCGGGCAAAGGTAGCACACGGGAGGGTTTGGTGCTGGGCGGAGATGACGACGCCCGAGCCACCCCGTAGAGGCGACATGAGGGCCTGGGAGCGATTATGGCTCTGTTAGCTTGTGCTTATAAGCAACAATCTGCCCTACTTTTTCAACCATGGAACAATATTTTCTCTCACAACAAATCAGCCTACAAATCAGCCGCAGCAGTAATAAATCCTGCCGAAAAGAGCTTATGTTGACCTTGTTTCAGTGCAGATACCCCTGCGTTGTGCGCATACTAGCTGAGGGAGATTTAGAGTTTATTTCCGTGAAACATAGGAAATACAACAATGAACTTGTTTTGGTGGCCGGATGTGGGCGTCCGTTGCGGTTTTGTTTACGAACATCAAAATGGGGCTTTGGCAGGTTGCCAGAATGGTGGAGGTGAACAAGCGCCAGCGTTGTCGGGTCACGATCTAAGGGCGTCCCCAACAGCTAGCGACGAATAAATAGCTGATTTATTTCACATAGCCTAAAAATCTGAGAGAAGAACATATGGGTTCAATAGTACATACAAAAATAAAATAATATAAAATAGTGTTTGGTTTTGTCTCTCACCTTCAAATAAGCTACGTAGCTAGAACCGTTGCGGACGCAGGAGGGGTGTAAAAGTTTGTCGGCTGAAATCAAGCCTTTATAGCACCGGAATGGTATATCGACACCATTTTTTTTTCATTTCTTTTTGTGGGATGGGATAGATGCATGATTGGAGATGGAGGTGATGATGAGATAGACCGTTCACGGCAAAGGAGACACGGCAGTTAAAGAGAAATAAATGCCTATAGATCTACGCAAGGGAAGTGCTACTAGTAGTTGAGGCGATGAGGTCAAACTAGAATGGGACCTTGTATTAAACCATCCAGACCAAAACGATGAAGGTATAGCGAAGTATATTGACTTTGGGGTAACGTTGCTACTCCTCTATGATTAGAGTCAGTTTGGATTCTACGCACTAACAACTACGTACTTGCTAAGTTTTATAGTCCTCGAGGATCCACGGAGGGGGCTAATGAGTAGGCTAAAATTCAGCCAAAGTCCTAATTAATTGTTAGTTTTACGTGAAAAAAAACTAGTTGTTAGTTCATTAGTCTTTCAAACTTCGTGAATCTCGAGATCTGCCGGCTCAGTCTTTCGGAGGTGCTCATAGGGGTATAATTTGTATACGTATGTTTATAATGGTGAGTGTACGTACGTGTTGTAAACGTCTATGTTATAATGTATAATTTAAAAAAAAACTGCTAACAAGGCCTTGCTTTAGGAGTTCTATTCGTGTAGGTGAAGACAGAGAAAGAGAAAAGACAAAAGAGGGGAAGAGTTGTCCTCCCATGAGATGGATACAGACAAGGGTACTGTGGCCTTTTGACGATGATCCACATAACTATTAGCAAAGAATCCAAACAGGCCAGGGCTAACAACTAGTACTATTTTGTCCAAATAAACCTTAATACTCCTACTAGCCCATAGGAGTGGTAGTTACTACTACTAATTCTAGTATAGTTAACCATTACTAGAATGTCACGGTTAATTATTACTCCTACTAGTACTAGAATAATGATTCAAAATTACTAGAATAGTATGG